GGTGTAAATACAATAAGCTTTCATTTATTTAACTGTTAATTGCTAATCTGTCACATATGCAAATAAATGGGTGAATGCAGTGCGTATTATTTATTTGCCTATATGTTTTGCATTTAATTTTTACCTCTAATGCTATTCTTTTATCATTTTCATGTAAAAAAAAATAACTAAAAAATGAAAGGAAATGCACACCCCAACTCCATAGGTTATATGAGCAATATCACACGAGTAGCAGTGCGACATGGCTGTATATCGGCACTGTTGGGAGGCATGCGATGTATACAGCCATATCCCACTGCTACGAGTGTGATATTGCGTTTATACAACAGTTTGACAGCATAATTGTGTATATAAAAACAAAATCAAACACGGAAAGTTTCCAAAACCCTTTTGTATATGGAACTACTTTCTTCCAAATTGGATTCAAATCATAAGCTGACAGTTAAAACAGTTGAGCAAGCATCTTTTAAATTTTAGATCTGTAGTGTCTGCTTTTTTGCTGGCTGTATGTGGGTGGAGTAATACACAAAGGTTAAAGAGGCTGTAGGAGTTTTGATATTGCAGAATATCGCACGGCTATCAGCCAATCAAATTTGAGAACCAGACAGAACTGTTATATATATATATATATATATATATATATATATATATATATATATATATATATATATATATATATATATATATATATATATATATATATATATATATATATATATATATATATATTAAACACTTTAAAAAAGAATAATTTTTGTTCAAATTAAAAATACTTATTATCAGATCTTTAATAATGACGTGCTTGCCAAGTTTAACCGAGTTTAATTGGTTATATTGGTTTACTGGTAAGTTTTTAAAGTAACCAATTATCTTTATTAGTGGACTCAAATGAAATACATGCTGAAAATTAGTAAGCTACTACAGTAATGTACAGTTAACGTCTGAATTATTTAACCCCCCCCCCCAACCCCCCTTGAATTTTTTATTCTATTTTAAATATGTCCCGACTCCCAAATGATGTTTAACAGAGCAAGAAATTTTCAACAGTATGTCTGATAATGTTTTTTTTTCTTCTGAAGAAAGTCTTATTTGTTTTATTTTAGCTAGAATAACAGCAGTGTTTAATTTTTTTAAAAACCAATTTAAGGTCAAAATTATTAGCTATATATAAGCTATATATAACAAACCATCATTATACAATAACTTGCCTAATTACCCTAACCATGCCTAGTTAACCTAATAAACCCAGTTAAGCCTTTAAATGTCACTTTAAACTGTATAGAAGTGTGTTGAAAATATCTAGTAAAATATTATTTATTGTCATCATGGAAAAGATAAAATAAATCAGTTATTAGAAATTAGTTATCAAAACTATTATATTTAGAAATGTGTTGAAAAAAAACTGTCTACTTTTATCTTCTCAATAATTAGCCATTTTGGGAAGTGGTATAGGGTCACGGTATACTACAGCAATGTATTCTATAAAGATAACTGTGCATGAAGAGTTCTGATGAAAAAACTTCTAAATGCCATCTGAAATGTTGTCCCAAAATAACCTTTTTTTTCCAGCATCCTAATATTTATGTTCAGTCATTTCACTTTAAAGGCAATGTAAATAACTTATTCGTCACAATAAAAGTAAAATTACTGAGCCTACACACAGGAGTCAGAGAAAAATGCTAATTTTAGAAGAAAATATCAGATGGTTTTTAGAGGTTTTTACATATAAACTCTTCATATTAACATTGCACTATCTCTGCAAGTATTTCACTACTGTTAATATTTTTATTTAAACATGTTAATGGTCAGCAAGGCTTTTTTTCTGTTGTAGTCTGAACGCCTTTCTTTAGCTGATGTCTTTGACTGTTATTTCCATTGTTGGTAAAAGTTTGGCAAACTGCCATGCACTTCATATAAAATGTCTTCTATTCATTCACTTGTCCATTCTTACTCTACTGTAACCCACGTTAGGAAATTCGTTTTGAGAAGATCAACATTATCACTTCATGACGCGCTTTACATTGGTGTTTTATCGGCTTACTAGCCTATATCAGATCGCAGATGGATGTTAATAAAACGCAGTTTTAAAGTTACCAACTGCAGATATAATATCCCGAGCTTCCCTTTCTAAGGATAAAACGCCCTCTTGCTCTGATATGATAAATTATGAAGCGTGATAACACAAAACTATATTTTACTACTATATTTATATTAAAAACCAGCAAGCTTACCGTGATCTTCTGGTTTCTTCCGCGCATTTGGGGTTATTTTTCCGCCTTGCCAAGATTAATCTTTCAAAGGGTTTGTCCTACAGTTAAACAAATGTTGCTCAATACTACCGTCAGTCAAAAATAACAAACATATTCTTTAGAGTGTTTTCATTTCGCACGGCTCGCCCATCAAATGAGCAAACATGGTGCTGTGAATGTGCACGACTGTCTTCCTCACTGCTTCAGGCGCGCGCAGTAGGAAAGCGAATATCCGGCGCGTCTAAGTTTCGATTTCCTGATGGTGAAAGTAACACTTTTATATTTGGGTCATGCATATAACCATTTGAACTAATATAATTGAGTAGCATAATATATCTTGTGTTAAGTGGGCTACCCTGTTAAATTGTGTGTGGGAGGTGGTTTGCCATACATCATGGGTTACAAAATATACCAAAAATGTGTAGCTGGGGGAAAAAGACCACTTCAAGACGCCCCCAGTTTATTGAATTATTATTCATTTATTAATATTATCATTATTATTAGCTATTTAAAAACATAACAATTTAGGCCAAATTCAATCAAAACATAATCTTGCACTGAGTCATGTCAGATTATGGAATCAATATATATATATATATATATATATATATATATATATATATATATATATATATATATATAAAGAACAACATACCATGGAGACATCAAACAGAAACTTTGTAAAGGGGTAAATAAAACCATTCTTGAAACAAATAGTTTAGGCTTATCACCATCATTATTTTTAAAGCTTCTACATAGGTGGCACATTTCTTTTTTTAAAGACAATCAATTGTGGAGCTGTTTTCAAAATTTTGCATTTATGAATGAAGAATTTAAGTAAAATAAGTAAACAATTTGCAGTTATGTCATCATCTTTGCTGTCTAAATGTACTCTAAATTATACATTGTCCCAACAAATAGAAGAAAACATTGATATTGTTTTATCCACTTGTCCACATCAGACTAGAAAAGATTAAACAAATTACAATAAAGAAATTGATGTTCAACAGTTTCAATATCACTATTTTTTAAAACAATTTAAGTGCAGGTTACATTGTTTCATTATAACCAGCAGATGGCGGCAAAGAAAAGACATTCCCCTGTCTTAGAGCACAGCCCCTTCAGTTTTGAATGCTTTCCAAAATAGGAATTATTTCTCAATGGTCAGTACCAATACTGTCATTCTAAACACAACAACAATGCTGGCTGTGAGAAAGGAACAGTTTCATGAACATCTGGCAAACAGCCTTCTCCAGTCTGTTGCACATCAGACGAGAAGCTCCACTATATTAAATCATGAAAGTTCTGTTTTTTAAATGTTTTTTATTTAAAATGCATTTGTTCTTAAGTGCTCATAAAGACCAACAGTAATAATCCAGCTAACAACTATAAATATGTTTGTTATACATTTATTTCTCAACATTGATAACATCTCCTTTTTTTAAATGTTTCTTTTTTCAGGATAAAATTAGTTGTAGGATTGTTTCAGCTATTCTGAATTTTAGAGAAGTCACAAAACGATGGCAAGCCGTTTTAACATTTATTCATTCATTCATTTTCTTGTCGGCTTAGTCCATTTATTAATCCGGGGTTGCCACAGCGGAATGAACCGCCAACTTATCCAGCACGTTTTTACGCAGCGGATGCCCCTTCAGCCGCAACCCATCTCTGGGAAACATCCACACACACTCATACTTTACAGACAATTTAGCCTACCCAATTCACCTGTACCGCATGTCTTTGGACTGTGGAGGAAACCGGAGCACCCGGAGTAAACCCACCTTCTTGCTATGAGGTGACAGCACAACCGAGCCACTGCCTCGCCGCTGTTTTAACATTTAATCTATAAAATTACTATTGATTTAAATTGTGACATATTATTCTATATATAATTATTTATGCAGTCAAGCCAAATATTATTCAGACTTGTATTATTATTGATAAAGGTACAGGGCACTGTAGTTCACTTACCCCCCCCCCCCCCCCCCCATTTATTTTTTCCCCAATTTCTGTCTAACAGGGAGCAGATTTATTCAACACATTTCAAAACATAATAGTTTTCATAATTTATTTCTGATTACTGATTTCTTATATCTTTGCCATGATGACAGTAAATAATATTTTACTATATTTTTCTAGACACTTCTATACAGCTTAAAGTGACATTTAAAGGTTTAACTAGATTAATTAGGTTAACGGCAAGTTATTGTATAACAATGGTTTGCTCTGTGAACTATCAAAAAAAAAATATAAATAATTACTAGCTAATAAATTAGTGGTGGTAAAGAACTTGTTTTTTAAAAGAAAAAAGTTATGATATTAATCTTTTATTTATTTTTAGTAGGGCTTGGGCTTTAGATTAAATGTTGAAACGGCTTGCCATATTGACACTTCCTCATTCAAATACTGAACATGCTAGTTTATAAGCAAAACATATTTTTCTATAAAGATTATGATTATTATTATTATTATCCTGTTTAAATTAAAAAGTTCTGGTAAATGCAATAAGGGTTCAGTGACCTTTGAACTACCTTTCTCATGTCAAAGCAGAAAGCAGATAATCTGAGAAATTATTTCATATGAATATTAACTGGGGTTTTATTATAGTAAATTTTTTTTTTTTTTTTTTTTTACAGTTTTTATGCAAATACGGTACTATTTCAACTTTATGAATAACAATTATTTGTGATAACCATGGTGAAAAATCTACAACAAAACATGTTTTTAAATATTCTTTGTTTTTGTAGTAAACCACTTCTCATTGGAATGTATCATGAGATCGTCACGTTGCGCTGCTGCTTCCTGACTCTCAAAACGAAAGTTGACAGTTCACTTGCTACAATGGACAAGACGCACTTGTTGAGGTATGATCGAGAAAAAAAACAGCAAAATCACGAAGAAATGTCTGTTAGGACAAACGTAAATTAAACATTATTTAAGGTAGCGAGGAATTACTTATAAGACATATTTTAAAAAAGCAACAAACAAAAAAAATACTGAAAAATACGGTCGTTTGTTTTGGTCAGTGAGGGAAATAAGTGTCTCAGTTCTCGTTTTTTTTTTCTGACGGTTTTGTTGTCAACTTTTATTTATCGCTGTACTTTTGTACATATTGAATAAAAACACGTGTTTGTGGCTTACAGTTCTCTCTCTCATACTCTTTCTCTCTCTCTCTGTGTGTGTGACAGTGACCAGGATGGCGCGTCAGGTCCAGGCAGATCTTATGGAACTTGTACAGGTAATCAATATTTATTTTTCCTAAAGTTGAACTCAAATATCTCTTTACACATATTTATTTCTCTAAAATTTAAAAGTGCACATTTACACAAGATACAATCCCAAAAAGGTTTATATTAGATAATATCTAATATATATTCATAAATACTGTCAAAAATAGTTCACCCCTGTGTTTACATCAGCAAAAGTAACATGAGAGAAAAAAAAGTTTCCTGTTTCTGCTGTTTCCTCATTGCAGGAATAGCTTAGTCACAGCTGAAAAAACAAGAGTTCAAAGAGTGACAGATAGTATGATGAAATGTGTTTTTTATTATTTTTTTTGTACATTCACTAGATCCAAACATGGAGGCAAATGATGGGGCGACAGCTCCTCCTGCTGATATGATGCCTGTGGTTCCTGGATATGAGAATTTGGGACCTAATGGTGAGAAAAATTTCAGTAGTTTAAGCTGAATCTATGCATGATGTATTGATGTTGCTAATGAATATGATAGTGACTTTATGAGTGAATATGAGTGACTTTTTATTTCATCCTCAGTTATTCCGCCTTCACATTTTGGATCATCACAACCACAAGCCCCACCCCGAGCTCCAGAGAGACGCTTTGAGTAAGAAAATGAAATGATTCATGATTTCAGTTTTAATTATTTGAATAGTTCTACATGAAGTCTAAGCACCAAAACGTTTACTCGTTCTTTATTCTGTGTATGCAGTGGTGCAAAGTAACAAGCTACAAATACTCAAATTAAGTTTTTCCGAGAAATTGACATTTGCTAAGTAATTCTAAAAATATGTACTTTTATGTTCTCTAAGTATATTTTTAGTGCTGTATCGGTACTTTTACTCCACTATTTTGTTTTTTGGCAAAGTAATGGAACTTTTGCTTGAGGATGATTTTTTTACAACATCACAATAAAAGCAACCTTTTCGCATAATTTCATAGTTAGGATTTCCAAGCTTCTACATAAGTTTGTCTTGTGTTGTCTCTGGCTTTCTTTTATTTTTTTTAAATTCCACTTCATTTCCGAGCCATTGTTATAATATTAAAATCATTTATGATCAGTAAATTCTTTCACATAAAATAATAATAGCAAAAGGTATCTAAAAGTATGTAACCTATACACATATATATATATATATATATATATATATATATATATATACAGTTGAAGAGTCAGAATTATTAGCCCCCTTTTGATTTTTATTTTCTTTTTTAAATATTTCCCAAATGATTTTCAACAGAGCAATGAAATTTTCACAGTATGTCTGATAATATATTTTTTTTCTAGAGAAAGTATTTGTTTTATTTCGGCTAGAATAAAATCAGTTATTAATTTTTTAAAAACCATTTTTGGGACAAAATTATTAGCCCCTTTAAGCAATTTTTTTCCGATAATCTACAGAACAAACCATCGTTACAATAAAATAACTTGACTAATTACCCTAACCTGCCTAGTTCACCTTATTAACCTAGTTAAGTCTTTTTAATGTCACTTTAAGCTGTATAGAAGTGTCTTGAAATATATCTAGTAAAATATTATTTACTGTCATCATGGAAAAGATAAAATAAATCAGTTATTAGAAATAAGTTTTTAAAACTATTATGCTTAGAAATGTGCTTAAACAAGCTTCCCAGAACAGAACAGAAATTGGGGCAAAAAAAATAAAGGAGCGCTAATAATTCAGGGGGGCTAATAATTCTGACTTCAACTGTATATATATATTAGATGTGGGACATTAACCAATTTTAAGATGTACCGCGGTTTGAAAAAGTCAAGGTTTTAAAACTGGCAAAATTTTCTGCTATACCCTTCCTAAGGTATGTGTAAGATTTTTTTTAGGACAACAGTATCTCTAGCAGAAAAGATCTCCAAAGATCCCGTTTTAAATTGTAAAGAAATGTGTGTTTTTGAAACAAATGAAGACAGCAAAATGATTAATTCAATGATTTATTTGAATTATTTAGCCTGACATCCCAGCAGGCAAACAACATCATAAGACGTTTTAGTATTAGGTTATATGTAGGTCTTGATGTCAGGTGACCAAAATTCAATGTCTAGTCTAAGAACAATATTAATTTGGCGTCCAATAACGATGTTGATCTTAGGTTGTGTTGGAAAGTAACCAAAATCCAACGTCAGGCCAACATCTTAAACCAACGTCGTATTGACGTCAATTACTGACATTTATTTGTCAGGTATGTCAAACAAAATCCAACGTCTGACAGATATTATAGTGGTAACATCAAAATTACATCAAACTGTAACATCATTAGATGTTAATACTTGGTTGATTTTAGGTTTTTACGCTGAGTTCTGATGTCAACCCAATTTTAAATTTCAAACAAAATGCAACGTCCCCATGTTGTCGGGATACAGCGTAAATCTGATGTCATGTTGATATCCTGTGCCAGCAGGGTCCGTGTATCATCCGTTCATTTGATTATTCCTTTTATTACGGAAAACGAAACAGCAGAAAAACGATGAATATTTCGTTTTTCTGTTTATTCTGTAGGCAGAAAAAACGGAAACTCATCTGTTATTCTGCTTATTAACTTAAAACGAAATATTAAAACAAACACAAAACCAAAACGAAATAATGAGTCAAAATATGGTCCGTGTACGGTCCGTGTACGTTTTGTTCATTTGTTTTCCATTTTCAAACGGAATAAAGGAAATTGAGAAAACGGCCGTTTTTCCGTTTTTCTTTTGCTCACGAGAAAACGAAAAAACGAGATTTTGGCTGGATTTTCGTTTTTTGGTTTAGGGTAGGAAAACGGATAAACGACTTTAAAATTCATTTTACACATGTAGGCGGTGCTGAAACGCCCACTTTCCTCTAATTGGTTAACCAAATCTGCGCTCGTGACGTCACCCTCAAAATAAAAGCCTTACACGCAGGCTTTTAATTATTATTATTTAATTATATATATAAACAAAGTTTACATATTCTATCATTTGAACCACACACAGTTAGCAGGCTTACATTCATTACGTATGTATAAATTAAATAAAAACGTAAATCAGCAGTATTCTTAGACATTTGTCATTAAAATAAGGTCATAGTTCACTGCC